CTAAAAAAACTATTTATCCCTAAGCAAATCTTGCTATTCTTACAGACTCTTAAATCTTTATTGATCCTGTTTACTTTTTATTATCTCTTTTGCATATCTCTTAATTTTATTGTCTCATACACCTTCCAGAATGTAATGCTGCGATGTTTGGAGTTATTTAAACTTCAGGGGAAAAAATCCTCTTGGAGTCCTCTTATCTTTCCACTTGATGCCTGTTTTTCTAAATGGCTGTGCAGTATCAGACTCTTCTGCCGGCACGAAAGGTTTGATAGTGATTCAGAAATGGTAACAGACTGAAATAGCCCAAAAGGAGACCAGTTTTAAGGTCACTGTAAAGCTGCGAAGCTGGGGCAGAAAGCAAAATGAGGTATTTAAAATTTGGTAATTCCTTTGGAGGCATTTAAAAAAAAAAAAAAAAAAAAAAAAAGAAGGTGCTTTCATGTATCTAATTAAACTGAATTGTTGGTAGGTAGAGGGCATGTTTTCCACAGGTCAATGAGCAGGATTCTGCACTGCAAGGACAATCTTTCTGGAGTTGTTTCTGACATGGGGCCTCCAATATGACCTGATGTTTTATTTCTCTGTGCTAAATCATCATAGCACAGATACGAAAAGGGACAGCACACACTTTAGGGCCACCCAGCGTCCTGATTCACCACAGCCCTCTGACATCTGTGGTGACCTGGAAAGGAGCTGTAGGAACAGARAATAGCAGCACTGCGTCAGGGGAGAGCAAGCTGGTGGGAAATGGTGATAACCTGGGAATTGCCTTCCAGTAAATCTTCACTTGGCTGTGAGTAGGAGGACTTACTTCATTTAAAAGTAGGGTTACTGACAGCTGCTTTTATATAGGAGAACTATTTCTTTTTCTGCAAGGAACACCTTTTCAAGTAATTTTCACTTCACTTTTCAGTACAGAGCACTGAGGCAGGAAAATGAGGTGGTACTTAAACACAAGTAATCAGAAGTGGGTTTATATTACTTTTAGAATTGGACATGATATATCCTATCATTGCTGCAAAACCCTGCCTGAGCACGTGCTGTTATCTAATTCACCTTAGAAGATAACGAAGAAATATTCCTAAAGAAGTTCTAATTTTGGGTTTCTGTTTGCAAAGGTGCTCCCATGGCCCATTCTTGGTAAAATGGCCTGAACAGCAACAGCTGAAGGCAAGTTTAGGCATCCAAACCTGTCTTGAGAGTGCCTGTGCCACAGCTGATCCTCTTAAAGGGGATSACCTTTAGGGACCACTAGGGCATTACACAGGGAGTTCTGAAATAACGGAAGAGCTAGCTTGGAAAGAAATGTATGGAACAAATGAAATTGTAACTGGAGGGAGAACAGTGGGAACAGAGCAAGCAGTCAAAACCAGAAGAAACAGTTTTGGCACTGTGTTTCATGTTCATCACTGTCATTAAAAACTCTGTGTGGGAATGCCAGCAGCCTTCGTCCAGCTCGGGTAGTGACTGGGCAGGTGTGACAGGCTGGGGGTGAGGTGTTCCCTCCCTGCAGTGTGCATGAGCAGGTGCAGCAAGGTACAGCTTAAGAACCCACATCACCACATCCCACATCAGAGGAAAACTGTGTGTAACCACGGTGGGGAATGGGTGCACATGATTAGAACTTTGGAGGATTAGTGAAGAAGGGTTCTTTATTGGCTAGGTGTTTATTAGCATTTTTTAACAGTGTATTGCCCATACTAATCCTGAAAGTATGTTCTACTGATTTCCAGTTAATTGTGTTATATTATTAAATAAATAAACCAGTTTGATTATGATTTGGTTTAAATGAAGTAAACMGAGCAGTTTTTCCCTGTCACACCCTTAGGTTGTGATTGTAGCTGCTACAGGATGTTTAATGTATAATTCTGAGTCACAGAATTTGTGTGCCAGTGGGAGAAAAGACAAATGTTGACGATGCAAAGATAATCTCACTCTTAGAACAGTGGGATGGGTCATTTTCATGACAATTGTTGGCAAAGCAGTGGCTGGTGCTAGAATTCTGTGTGCTCCAATGAGGTCATTGAACTGAGGTGTGACAGAGAGCTTGCAGTTAGAACATGCTGAAATTACACTGCTCAGAGATGCCATTTCAGTGTGGCTAATTCAGCTGCTATTACTATTATCTATTACTATTACTATTGTTATYATCATTAGTCCCCTATGGAATAMATTGACTTCCTCAGGTCTGTCTTCCTAACACAAAATGATTTCCAAATACTGCTCTCAAAATTACTCAGGTTTGAACAAACACTCTGAACTTGGATGTTGAGCACCCATGTTGAGTAAGGAACTAATAAAAACCTGAGTAACTTATTCAGACCTCACACTGACTCTGCTTTGTGGAGGAGTTTTCAGCAAGGTAACTTCCAACCTGTACTTTCCTATGATCTTACATCTTGACTTGCAGTTTAGCTTGTGCAGGGAATATGTGGTGATATTGTGGCTGGCCATGTCCACAGCAAGATTTTCAGTGCAGTCCCTCCAGTTCTCACAGCAGTAGCTCTGCTTCCTTAGATAAAATCCAGCTGTCTTTGGTTTCATAACTGCTCAAATGTTCCTGCCTTTCTCACGAGTAGGAGGTAAACTGTAGAGATGAGATTTTTCTCCTTGCCTCAGGGGTCCTGAGGCATGGTTTGTCTGTGTGCTCTGTTTTGTTAGGGGTTGGAGGGGCTAAACGGAGTGAGACACAAATAAAGACATTGGTTTGGAATTGCTAGCCCATGGGAGAGGTGAGGAAGGAAAAAAAGTAGAAGCTCCTGATTCTACTTCCATTTGGCTTGGGCAAGTTTACTCAATGACTCAGAAAAATCACAAACCCAGGACTGGACAGGAATGAATCTGGTCGCCTGCTTTGTGATTGGAGATGGTTTCTTTGTRTAGGCCCATGTTTTTATCACTCTGATATTGTGAGCTATGTTATCTTTTCAATTCAATACCTTTAGCAATATTATCMTGTATTTATGGGGAGAAGCCAGGAAATTTATGGAACCATTTCAATTCCAGTTTGGGTTCAGCTGTACCTGAAATCTGAATCAAARTCTTTGACTGTGTTTCAAGTCCATAATTATTTGATAAATGGTTTTATAACCCAAAAGTAGTATGGCACGATCTGAACAAGTTTGAACTTYGCGACATTGGAAGATTCAATATTTAAAGTTGGAGAAATTGCAGCTTTGACAGGWGCATGAAATATCCCTTTACTGATAAGGTGTGCACCAGTAGCTGCAGACTGGAGGCAGATCGATCATCACAGGGTCATGGAGCAGTGTGAGAGTTCATTCTCCACACGGGTCATTTGTCAAGGGGAAGGGAAAGGAGGAGACATTGTGCTCTCTGAAGTCATTTTGTTGGAGAAACAGCCAAATGCCAGTTTTACTAAGAACAGTACTTAAAATTGCTGACTGGAAACACAGCCCAAAGTTAAAAAACAATATATCTACCTTCATGTTAAAAGGAGGAAAATACTTTAACTGCTTTCAGAGCAGTCCTTCAGGTTTGATTTGAGGTCTGTTCTGTACACACACTCGTTTTCATCCTATAGCAGCCCACTGACTAAGCTAGTGATTATTAAGGATGTGTGGTGGGGGTTTTGGGAACATATCCAAGAGGGATGTGTGTGTACTCCATGCCAGTCAGACATCACCTCTGTGGGCCTGCATCCATCTCCTGTGAGCACTTGGTACTATTACATTTTTCCCCTAATTCTCAGTCTCAAATACTTCTCTTCATGTGATCTGCATTTCTGCTGCAGAGCCCCTRTAAAGCCAAGACATTTCAGGAAKMTATTGGACTACAACRCTGTTGCCTRCATGGATCCATGACAAGTTCCTCCATTGGCCCTATTTACCRTGTARTTCTKTCTGCATAATCTTTATATTTTTGTTTGAAABATTCATTATCCATCTTACAATCCATTCACTTCTTCTCCACCTTATCAATTCTCATCTGATACTGAAACGAGTGCTTCARCATCACCTGGGTTTATTTAATCAAGAATTTGGCCAAATACATTTCCTTTACTCTGCGTGGTTGGTATCTTAGATAAGAACCACTGMGTGACCAGTAAGTCACTTTGTCTTTTTGCCTGCTTTTTATTTTGATTGTTTGCAACATGCACCTCAAATTCTATGTGTAGAGAAGTTCATTCTTGCACACCCTTAACATGAATTTGTTTTTTAACTAAGCATGCAATACACAAGTAATTGCAGAATTATTTATTTGTCCATCTTTTAGGTATCAAAAGATATAAACTTATATGAGTACGGAAGGGACAAATCTGAGAAAAAAGTGTGATGCAAAAACAAGCAGACTACAGGGAAAGGAATGTGTTGACCTAAATTGCCGGGCCTTTGTTTATTCATTCATTTAGCGAGGTTTAAAGAGGGGGTTTAAAAAAAAGCAACACTTGTGTGTTGCAAGAGGTTTAGGGGAAGTGACTGCTGAAATCAGAGTATAAATGTTTTGCAAGGTCAGTCCCTGGAGCAGTCCAGTAAARRAGGAGTGGAAATAACACCGAGTAATAAAAAACCACAGGCTCCAGTCCTGGGTGTGTTTGCTGAGGTTGTGAATCTCTAGGATGTCGTTCCTGGGCTATGCAGCTCTGCTCCTGTGTTGGATGCACTGTGCTGCACAAAGAGGTAAGTTTTACTGTGGCAAAACCCCAAACTTCTATCTTAAAGTGTCTGTGAAGATGGTAACTAAAGCAATATGTAAACCCATTGTAGCCTTTTTTCATGAACTTCTGACAGCAATAATTGAGATTTCTTCTGGCAGTATTTAGCACTCTTGGTATTTAGTAGTCTGTCATAGGTTTGTTTCACTTTTATTTGCATAACTGCTGTGAGCAATCTGTTGCCCAACTTTTTAAATGGTTGGTATTGCTATAAACTGGACCCAGAGAAATAATTTGTCTCTTTGTTTATTTTGTTTGTTAATTATTCCAGCATCTAAAACTAGGAAGCACCAGGTAGATTAAAATACAAAATATTCCATAAATGTGATTGTTTTGTCTGGAATAATTGAGAGGAAATCTGGGAAAGTGAAATGATTACYATGATGACTGAAAAGCTTCTAAAATATCAATTGACTGACTGGCCTCTGGTGTTCTTTGTCTCTCTCTTCAATGTCATTTGCTTGVSTTGTGTTTCTACTATTTAGTGTATCCTTGGTAATTTAATTTGTTTCCTTTCTGTCTGAGTTTTTTACATGGAGCACTGTGCAGAGGGTGCTGTGTGCRCTTGAGCTAGGGTGACTTGAGCTTGGTTCATGTTGGTTTTAATTTTAGTTGAAAATAATGAGGTCTTCATCAATAAAAACAATCCAATGGATTTTACTTTGAAAAAYTGACAAATCAGGAATTAAAGGAATATCCTATCTTAATTAAATATAAATAAATACTGCCTCCAAGCAACTAATAGTCTAATTTGTTTGCAAAGGCAAACAGAAAAGTCCTGGAATTTGAAATGAAAGTTTGCCTGAATTTGCACTTTGTTTTCACAATGATTTCTTTAGGTCAGGGAGATTGGAAAGGAATGTGAATATAGCAAAATGTGATTTATCCAGGACATTAACTCTTACCATGGGTCATGCATGATTCTTAGTTCAAGTTCCATATGGAAAGTCTGGGTGAGTTGTTCCAAGAGCTGGGTTTTGCTCTGAAAAACACTTGTACTTGGATTTGTAATTCTGCTTGTACTTTATAGTAAAGTTCCTACCAGCAAATTGTTGGCAAAAAAGCAGCTTGAGCTATTTCTAACCGAGGCCCAATCCCATATAAATACTGCATGAGTAATTCCAGCACTCCTGGTGTCTCCCTAAAGAATGTAGGTATCCATTTAGTGCTTGTTTTTCTAATACAGAAATAAACCCCTCCAGTGTTGGTGAGTACACAGGGTGAGTGCATGATGGAATTAATAACTGTTTTGTAGCACAACCAGCAGATTTCTTTGCCTCAAGTCACTAAGAAACTGCATTTATAAAACCCCAATATTTAGCTGTAGTCAGAAATATGTGAAAATGTATATATATATATATATATATATATATATACTCTGACACTCGATGGTAACACACAGTTTGACATCAGGGCAGGAGTGGGGAAGAGCTGAGATAAASCCAGCAAGARGCACCTTTAGTAATGATAAARAGACYAAGGAGATTGTCTTTCAGTAGGTGTGTGTGGGGGGGGTGTTTAATGTAAACAGGGAGGAGTTAAGAGGCTGCATCCTGCACAACAGACAATAAAAATACAAAACAGCTCAGAGAGAGGACTAGAGAATCTCTCCCTGTACTCAGTAGTCAGCTTTTAAAATCACAGATTTCTGTGTGCTTTCTCAGCTTGAAAACTAAAATTACTAATTTAAATGAGGTCTAATTAAAAATATGTGTACTTAGAAATATTCCTTTTCTCAGCATTACAAAGAACTTTTTTTTGGTGTAAACTAAGCATTTCTGACATATTTGAAAGAGCTAGCTAGAGGATTCTTCTTCATTTTGCTTATTCCTACATTTTGCAAAAATGATTTTAGAATTTGAGTGTGTTTTAGTCTTGCAAAAAAAAAAAAAATCCGACTACTTATTTTATTGTTGCCTACTACCCTCTAGTGTACAAAGCCAATAATTTTATTCTAATGTAATTTTTGATAGGAGAGAGAATACTTATCAAAGTAATTGGAATCTGTGGGCACATTCTTCCTTCAGCACCTCAGAAGTACTTGTCTGATTCTGGCTACTCAAAAGAGCCAAACTAAACTTATTCGATCTCATAATTAACATCTTTTTCTTTGTATTTTCAAAATACCATACAGAACACTTACAATGGTTTTTTTGGTTTTTTTTCTTGTAATAAGTCTTTTTTTTCCTGTTTTTTTTAAATACAATTTGATAAAATTATGCCTCTAATTTGATAGGTATTCYCCTGACTGAAATGCAAACAGTGAGTTCTCAAGTGTATGTCTTTGTAAAACCCAAATAAAAYGCACTTTCCATGCTTTGGGATTTCTAACATGAAGTGTGCAGATTAAATAAATAATAATTAAATAAATACTCATTCTTCCCCATCAGCAACTTTACTGGTGGTTATGATCTCTGCAGTGTAGTTCAGTTAGCTGTAACTCCACATCCCTCACATGAGAAAGAYCCTGAATACTTTCCCCATAGTCCTCTATTCAGGCAGCACCAGCACAACCCATAGGAAAGTTTCAGTGAGAATTCTGCTGCTTTCTCAAACCTGTGGCCTTTCAGCTAACTGGGGAGAGGACATCTGTGCCAGGTCTCTGCACAGTAATAAAACTACTCACCAAGGATTTTCCTTCCCTAGTGGACATTTCTTCTCCCATTTACTTTCAGTATAGAAATTTCATTCATTTTCCAAGGATTCGTTTCTCAGGGCTTGTTTTAGTTTTTTTTGATGAATGCTTACCTTTTATGTTCACGTGGAAAACAGAGTTCATTGCAGAAAATAGTTTGAAAGGAAACTCTGCAGAGTGCACGGAGTTCTCTGTGCCAATGGAAGGACAGGCCTGGAGCAGTTCGTGCAGATGGAAGGGTAGGAGGTGTCTGCAATTAGAACCAGGGCACTGATCTTGTCTCAGGCTTTGTAACCAAAATCTGTTTCATGAATCATCGCTGTCCCGTGGGGTTTCTTGGCACTTACTTGGCTATTCTTATGTCCTGCTAAATGTCTATTCACATTCCAACAAAATGTGGATTCTTGGCAGTTTCCTATTTTGTTCTGATTAAGTAGAAAGCACATGCTGGTTTGATCACAAATGGCCCCAGGATTTCTTGCTACATTTTCTATTGCAAAATTATTTTGGTGTTTGTAGCATGTGCTCCAGTCAGCAATATTTTTATTTAAATTTTTTAGCTTGTGAAGAACCTCCTCCTAGGAGGGTTAAAGAAGTTCCTGCTAAAAGATGGGACAAACCTCCTTACCCACATGGTACTCGAGCAACATACAATTGTCGGCCTGGATATGTAAAAGCTGGACGAGTTGAGTTTCAGTGCRTTGATGGAGTGTGGGAACAGATGCCCCCAGGGACAGAATGCAGAAGTAAGTATTTATGCAAAACATGTGCAAACGTTTGATTGGCAGGTCATATTCCTTGACAGTGATGTCAATGTGAAAGTCTATCTTTGCCCGTAACTTGTGTGTTTCTGCAATCTTTAAAATATCACCCTAAAAAGTAAGTGTGCATAAGGRAACTTTTTTTAAGTTCTTTTTCTCCAGATCAAAGGATTTATTTTTTTTCTTTACAGAAGGTCTTAGTCTAAGCCAGCCTTATTAACCCAACTTTCCCTATTAAGTTCAGTTTTTAGGTTCTTAGAAGCTTGCTATCAAAATGTTATAGTCTAAGCAGGATAAAGCACCAACTTCACTTCTGAATGCAAGTCAAGAGTTTATTCAACTAGTTCTATGAAAGATATAATTTCTTGCAAGTGGGAAATTATTTTCCATGCCTTTTCTCTTAATCTGTAATTCACAAATAGGATGAGAGATGCTATTTATTATTTCTAGTAAACTCTGTTAAGAGTTTACAAGTATCTCAGACCCTCATTCAGAATTCATTAGTGAAGAAATTGAAGTTTGTTATCATTAGTCAGAAGATACCTCTTTTCTGTAGTAAATGAGTTTTAAACACAAAAGAATTTTAGAAATATGGGTTTATTCTTGTGTATCTAACATACAAAATTTTTAGAGTATAAATATTTTGTTTGATAATATAAATATAAGTCCAGGGTCTCATTCAAACAGAGATTGATACACRCCATGAGTAAGAATAAACAGGTTGCTAATAGCCTTTTTTACATTTTTTATTTAGTCTCCATCTCAGTATTTAGATTTCCTTGTGTAACTAGTCAGCAAACACAGACCCATACAAAATCTGGTGTAGCTTGTAGCATGTTTTAGCAAATGCTGCCACCCTGTGAGCAGCTGCTGCCACCGGCAAGGAGCACATGGAGACCACAGACTGAGGGAACACGTTGCCTTGGCAGGACAGAAGACAGAAACATTGATCATGAATTTCCATTTTCTCGGAATCCCATTGGAACAGGCTTAAGGCCTATTCAAACACATCTTCGTTGGAAAAAATGAAGGATGTTGGTATGCCCCAAGAATTAATTTGCCTTGGTCGACAAGACCAGGAAAGATTTCTGCTGGGCAGAGGTAATAGGTTTCAGCCGTGCAGTTTATTTATATGCAGTCCATATTGAAACATCAGAAGGGGATGAGTGAGAGGGAGAATATATTCATCTTTGCCACTCTTTTGGGAATCCAAGGCAGAGAGTTAGGGCCAGGCCATGAGAAAAGTCCTGTTGGGAGCTTTGAGCAGCAAGCACTAAGGACCAAAAAACCTCTTGTAGCTTTAGATTGCCCCATTTCATTCAGCCAATCCACGTCAGGCTGAGGAAATTTCATTTCTAATAATAGAATGATTCTTTAATGGAGGCTTTAGACCACTCTGTGTCACAGCTTGTAATGAAAAGTTGCCATCACTTTGTCATGAAACTAAAGATGAGCTCAGCCCTTTTAGAGAAATAAAACTTGCTAATTTTTCATTGGGGTTTTTTKGGGGGRTTTTGGGATTTATTTTTGTTGTTGATAGGTTGGTTTTGTTTTGTCTTGTTTTTAAATAAGCACACTCCAGTTATCATTGAAAATATTGAAAATGGTGATAAAAAGAGAGGTTAATCAACCTGATGCTGAGCATTTCTGAATTTTGGACAGGGCCCAAAGGTCTGTACTGATTCCTAATAACTGGAAAAAATGCTGTCTTTCTCATTTTCACCTTCCTATGTATGGTGTAAGTAAGGCTTTTCCTNTTTTTTTTTCTTTAACCAGATAAGCCCTGTGGACATCCTGGAGATACTGATTTTGGTTTCTTTGAACTTACCAGTGGAACTGAATTTGTGTTTGGTGCCAGAGTTGAGTACAGATGTAATGATGGGTAATACTTGTTTAATTCAATGTCTGGGAATTAACATAAGGTGTTAATTAAAGTGTCCATTATGGATTTGTTCTCTGTAATGCAGCTTAGTAATATTTAATGGTTGTTTACGCRTTGTAAAAAATGTTTGAAGGAAGTAATTTCTGGCAGATACACTAATGTGTCTTCACTGAATGCTTGAAAGAAATTCTTCTCTTCCTCCTCTACTCGTCTTCTCCAGTGGAAAATGCAGCAAGCCAAATGCATGACTTTGTGTCAGGGCTTGGATACTTTCCTCTTGAAAAGCAAACCAGCTTCAGCACRGTTGTTTAGCCGTGCTTTTGTAGTTGTTATGTTACTGGAATCTAATCTGAGTTCCACAGAGAGAGTTCCAAAACAATATTCTCCTTAATCCCTTTAGTTCCTCACTCATTTCAGAATAGCTGTCCTTCCTCTGAGTGAATGTCAGACCAAGCAGAAGCCACAGCATTGTGGCCACGTTCCCCTCAAGCCCAAAATAACCTCATCCACACATGGCACATATGGTTTGGATTAAGTCCTATGTGGATGCTGCCACGTGGATTTCAGTTATCCTAGAACAGAGATTACAGGAGTTTTACTCTGCTTGCTGCTGTGTAAATTACCCCTGTTATTTGTTATGTTCCCAAAACTTGCTATCTCTGTAATGCAGCTTTCTTACTTATTCCTTCCTACTTTCTGATTTTGTTTTATATTTTCCCATACACACTTAGTAAAAGCAAATAGAGGAGATGCAGGTCAAAAAACTATTTGGTTTTGTCACATTTTGGTTATTCTGTGCTGGAACACCTGAAACCTTCCTTTGCTTCAAAAATAGCAGCACAGTTGCTTCCATCATATAATGAAACTGTATTTCAGCATTTTTTACTTTTTATTTGGTAAGATACCAGATGCTCAGCCAAAGAAATTACCGTGAGTGTCAGGCAGATGGATGGAGCAATGACATCCCTTATTGTGAAGGTAAATGGAGTTTGACATTTAATTCTCTATCAAACTGTCTTTTTATCTGTCTGAGACTATCTAGAATAGTCTGATTGCTTTACTAGTATTAATTCACATATAYTTAAATTTAAGATAGCCAGCAATGAAGTTCTTACAGCGACTGCTCAGCCACTATAGTTCAACAAGCATTTTTTAAAAAATGTTCAAGAAGTGAAGTCCTGTCACTTCCAGGCTCCCTTAAAGCTCTGCCTTACCTGAAAGCCCTGCTAGAGTCGCTGCCTGCAAAACATACTTGGGATGATGTGTTTCAAACCAGTGTGAAGGCATGTATGTTTTTAGCCTCCACCCTTGTGAACATCCAAACCATTAAGATCTTAAGGTCTCTCTATTAGCAAGCTGTGGAAGACATTCAGTGACCAAAAACAAGAGCAAGGGGGACACAGACATCAAGACCTAATAATCTGGATGGTTCAGATGGTGCTTCCCTGATTTTAGAAACCTTTTCACCCATTTCAAACCTGTATATGATCATGAAAATAAGGTTTCTGTTCTTCCCAGAGATAATCTTTAACTGGTATATTTCAACATATGTGGGTAGCAGTGACATTTTTCTTTGAATTAAGCATCTGATGTCAGGAAAGGATCTCTAATAATCACAAATTAAAGTAGGTATCTTTCTCTTGTCTAGTTACTTGTCTGCATTTTGACATTTCCTTGGATTAGATACTTCACGCTTAATTTACTGGATTTTGAGTGCCCTTACATTCAGGTATTGAGGTCTGTCTGCACCATATGGAGCAAAGGTTTCCARCATGTTTTATGTGTCACCAAAATACTTCTATTTCAAAGTCCTCAGAAGATATTTCTGTCATGGTTGAGTTTTTACTGATATATGATTGCCTATGAAAGAAAACATTTGTATAATGTCCTGCATGTGAGGAACCCAGGAGACAGAATATGAGCTCATAGAAAAGGCAAATGTAGTCAGAGAGAAGTAGCTTTGGTAGACAAAACAGAAGCCCCTTTTGTACCTGCTCAGGGATACCCAAGTAAACATTTAAGAATGAGCTTTGGTAGCCATTTTCCCCCTTAATAAGAAATATCTGATGACTTATGTTAATTCTTCCTTTTTCTGCAASCACAAAACTGGGAGGTACAAGAGGTCTAAATTAATGTTTGACACTGTTTACTTTAGAAATGTAATGCTCTGATATCTTTAACTAGGATTTTTGTTAATGACTGAACTGTTTTAGGGAGCCTCTAATGCAGCACTTTTCCAGATATCGGCTTATAGCAAACTCGGTTTGGCACAACTCTACACAAAATCAACTGATTCTAGCAAATTTTAATGGTGTCAGTCAAAGCTCAGCTAACCATCCATAGAATGCAGGATGTAAGGTAATTTAGATTGGGGGAGTTTATCTAGTTCCATGGGTGTTCTGTCATTAGCCTTCAAGGGCAGGGAAGAGGATGATGAGAGCTGGTCTAAAGGCTTCTTCCTATGTCACTCTGTCTTTTTGCTTGGGGCTTTGTAATACATTTACTTCAAATGGTATCTGAATATGTAGCTAGAGTGTATGTTTTTTAAACATATAAGGAAATTATAGTGAATTTTCTGGATTTTAACTTTTTTGTGTGTCAATTTATTTTACAGAATAGACCTCCAAATTACTTTTCCTTTCCTTGTTCTATTTTTCCAGTGATAAAGTGTTTACCTGTACAAGCACCTGAAAATGGAAGGATAATTATGACTGGTGCATTTGAGCTAGACCAAGAATATTCCTTTGGCCAGGTTGTAAATTTTGAATGTAATGCAAAATACAAGCTTGATGGAGCTAAAGAAATCGTTTGCTCTTCGAATGGAAGATGGAGTGATGATGTGCCTCAGTGCAAAGGTAAAAGGGACACTATTTACTGTGAGTCCTTAGGAAGCTTTATTCTCACAAATTCCTAAATACTGGTTACCATATGGGAAGCTACAGTTTTCACTTTATTTCACAGCAATTAAGCATAGTTTGTCTGTAAACAAATCTCTACTGCATATATGAAGAAGTAGGATAAGAAAAAAAATATTATTATATTGAATACTAATATAATCATAATAGACCATCTGTTTGTTCTACATTTTTCCTACAAGCTGTTTTGCCAGGTTGCAGTCAAATTCTTTGAAATGGCTGTATTTGAGTCAACCACTTCAGTGTTGATTTAACCAAAGTTATCAGTAACCACTTTGCATCTATGGGAACCAAGTTTAGTAAACAAGCATTAAATTTTCTGAAAAAGAGAAAATCCTACATTTCAGCTACCTTACTGTCTTATTTTGGAATGTCTTCTGCCTTATATATTGACTCTGAAATCCATTAAAGTCCAAAGAAAAATCCTGAAATCTGTCTCATGAACCGATTTGCAATTGAAGCTGTGCTCTAACATATTTTCCACCTGGCACCCAGAACCAAGTAAGTGCTCAAATAAGTTCCAAACAGTTTCCAAATACAAAAGTTTTTGTGAATTCAAATCTTGAAAAGAAAAAAAAAACAAACAAAAAAAAAACCTCTAAATTTTATTATCATAGAAATTTACTCTTAGCAAATAAAAATACCTAGATTTCTGTCTGTTTCAATTTTAGAAATTATYTGTGTTGCGCCAACAGTCCTAAATGGAAAGGTACATTCTCCAAGGCCGTCTTACAAGGAAAATGAACGAATCCAGTTTTCCTGTGAAAAAGGATATAAACATGGTACCAGAGGAGATGCACTGTGCACCCAATTAGGATGGAATCCACGTCCCTATTGCACTGGTCAGTCTTGCCTAAGGGGGTTTTGCACATTTTCTGGGTTTGGAAATGATTTTAGAGATTAATATGTTCAGTCATGACAAAATAAATCCATCCACATCCAGCCAATAACCATGAAGATTGGAAAGATTAAGTGCTAAAGGGTCCAAACAGCTGGGTAAGAATTTTCCATAAAGAGCAGTAGAAAAAACAGAATCTTGTTGTGAATCTCTACAATTTAATATATGTACAATATATAGCTAAAGCTCCCCCTTGTTTTTTGACTCTCAGATGCCTTCTGAGTACTTTATATGACACATCCATAATTCCTGAAGTTACTCCTGTTTCACATCAACCCTCTGGGTCTTGGTTTTTATTGAAATTTAATATAATTTAATTTTTATTTTATTTTTTAAAATTAATTTAATTTTGATTTTTTTTTTATTTTTAATGAAAATTAGTTTTGTTCAATTACAGTGCTTAAGGCTATATTTAAATCTCCAAATCCCACAAACAAAAATGCGCATGTCATAGCCCAACTGAAACAGTTTGATGAAATTTTGAAGAATTTATTAGTGCCTTGAATTTTCTTCAAGAAATTGCCAAACTCTTGAAACTGGAAAAAAGTGTTGGCAACAAGGCAACATTGTAGTATGTTATGCACCACCCACCTTCCGGGGACCTCTTCCAGAAAGACTCCTTAGAAATAAAGACTTGTTGTTTGTCTTGGAGCCCACTCAATTTTTAACCCTTCTGATTCAGGATTAGTAATGATACTAATTAATATGCATTGCCTATTTAGACAGTTTAACAACATACTGCTTTTGAGGAGTGCCAAACAAAACATTCTTCTAGACACTGAAGTCCTGGGCTCTGGTACTTGAAGCATACTCTGGATCCTACTGGACTTACCACTGAACACAGAGGATTCAGCAGTGCACACTGAAACCTGATTTACCCACCCTCACTCCACAGTTGGGACCAGTCTCACAGTCATCCCCTCCCAGCCCTCAGTGTGTTGGAGATGTGGAATTGGAAGKAGATACAAAAAACACAGAAGACTGGCTCTGCTTTATAAATGTGTTTGTGTGACTTCTCTGAGCAGAAAGATATCTTGAGTTTTTAGAATAAGATTCTTGACATTTTTCAGCTGTTGAAATACTTCCAGTGTCGGTCCATGACACTAATCTTAATCACAAAGCCTCTGAATGATCAGTTCCTAGTTACATGTAATTATTTTTCCATTTAGCACTCCCAGTGAAACTGCCATCCTTTGGGACAGTGTCCATAAATGAGCACAGCAAAACCCAGCTGCAGAATGATCTACTGGAAAAAATTAGTCAGGTTCTGTTTGATGGCTTCCAGTTCKTTCTCCAGCCATTCTCTTTGCAATTAAGTTATAATCTTCTAATTAACATAACATCAGTAACAGCTGTCACTCTTCTCCTACAGAACTATACATTTCTAAGAGTGAGAAAGAAATGAAACCTTTTCTTTGCTCTAAGGAACACTTTTWAAAAAATTTTGTGCAGTTATGACCAACGTACTATGGAAACAAGAACTTCTGCACTAAATGTAAACATATTCTTCATTTTTTTCTGTTTTATTTAGAAATTGCATGCTCTCCTCCAGTAATCTCCCACGGGAGCTTTAAACTTCAGAAAGACAAGTATAGAGAGGGTGATACAATCACAGTGGAGTGTGATCCTGGATATCATTTCAAAGTGCAGACTGGCAGAACCACAGCTGAATGCACTGGGAATGGCTGGGTGCCTCAGCCAGCTTGTGTCTGTAAGTAGCTCTCATACATGAAATTACAAGGTAGAATTGTTGGAAGTATGTCAGAGAAACAGAGGTCAAGAGCAAAACTCAAGGAGCATTAGATATGGCAGTCGCTTCTTCATTTTGTTTCTTGGTACTGTAAAGCTTCATTTGATGGTTTAGAAAAAATCACCTGTAAAAAACAATGGCATAATCCATATTTACATTGTGTTTATTAAAACAGGTATTATCTATTACTGGGTTTGCAAATCTGTAAAACGTGCTGTAGTCAGCTCACCATCATGAGGGTTTGTGCTCCACCCTAGGAATAGCATTCCAGTCAAGATAATATGACATAGGGAGTTTAATGTAGCCAAACCATAGGTAATGACTGGAAGATACCTTTCCTTGTAGTATCACAGCTCTAGATTTTTACTCAGCTTTGTAATCTGCTGTTATGGACAGTCACAGGATTTTATCTATTGCTGATAACCTGTCAGATAACAAAGCAAGGTGTTCTTTCTTGGCTTAAACTTCCCATAACTGCAATGAGAGCTTTGCCTACTAGGCACAATATAAGAATATAAATATTGAAGTTAGCAACCAGGTTCATTATTTAACACTCTTTGGTCACTGAAAATAAAGCTTAGCATATGAGAGAAACCCTGATGAAACCAGTCTTGTAAATGAACCTTTGGATAAGATGGTTTGAGCTATTTCTGAAATGTGCTCTTTTAGTATCTGAGTTAATGTTTCATCTCTATTAGTGTGGGTTCTAAAATTCAGGACCTATTCTGAGCCCACTTCCCTCATTATCGAATGGTCTGTCCTGTGGGTGATGTGCCCTGCCCTGGCATGCAGGCTGYRGGTCAGAKCATTTCAGCAAAAAGCTGGGGAATACGAAGGAAAGCTTCTGAGAATCTACCCCTTCTGTCCTGAACTGGTCTCTGAAAAGGATCAGTTCTTTTGAGCAATGAAGAGGGGAAAATTAAAATGCTGCAGTTTGACAGTAAAAATGAGAAGAGTCAGGAAGAGCTTTTGGTGCAGGAACCCAGAAGTTACAAATGGAAGTGGTGGCACGAGTCATCTCATTTTAAGAGTGCCCAGTTCAATTCCTCTATCTGAGCCAGATGACTGGGCTGCCATTATGGTCACAATAGTAAATTTAGTCAAGATCCTCYACAAGGACAGCATCTTCTCACTATAGAATGAATACTAACATTTGGTCTCATGAATCCCCCTCAGGAGTCTGCTGAGAATGCTGACTGGACTGTTGATGGTTGCAGTGGAATTGAGGGAAGTCACACATCTCTAGGCACTGACAAAGACCCCAGGTGCAGTGTGATTGTTCCTGCACTCCTTAGGATCTGCCAGGCTATGCAGTCCTGGTTCTGTCCATTTCTGAAAGCACTCAGATGATGAAGCTCAATATGAATTAATTGTGTTCTGAGCTCTTTATCATGCATGTGTTGATGCCATTGCTTTTACMTTCTATTTCAAGGGAAACCATGTGAGTACCTAGAAATAGAAAATGGCAAGTTAAGTGATTCACGTCGGTATTACTATCCAAAAGGATTTGGACAGACTGTATATTACAAATGCAACAATGGGTTTTCGACCCCCAGTGGAGWAGAGTCGTGGGTTCCAATTACCTGTTCTGAAAATGGCTGGTCTCCAGTGCCCAAATGCCTGAGTAAGTACGACTGTATGATCAATTCTGCTTCAATTATCAAAGATTTGTGCAGCAGAAATTGTTCTGGTGGAACACAAGGAAAAAACAGTTTCTTGAAGTCAAACTGCTTTAGTGGGCCCCTAGAACTGCACCCAGACTGACTTCCCATCTTGTTGTGGTTTAGAATGCTGGCCAAAAGCCAGGCACCCACAAGACCTGCTCAGGCACTCTCCCCTACCACCACTGGGCAGAGAAGAGCAAAGGGAAAAAAATTAACAAAAGGGTTCATGAGTTGAGATAAGGAACAGAGAGGAAACACTTGATGGACAAAACAGGCTCCACTTAAGTTACAAGACAGCTACCTTTGTTTTGATTTCTTCTTAAATATGTTTTCGCAGAGGTGTAACCACCATCTCCAATTGCCCCAGGTTTGGTCAGTGGCATGTCCATCATCCTCAGAGCCAATAGCAATTGGCTCTCCAGGACATGGTAGAAGCTTCTCACAGGAGCCATCTTTTTGGCCCCCCCGCTTCCAGCAAAGCTGGGCCAAGCAAAACCAACACACATCTGCAGAGCCCCAACTGTCAGTTGGGGACACTTTGAAATGAGTCAGGCTGAAATTACACTTTTGATTTTTGAAGATTCTTTACTCCTGAAACTCTTCATGAGAGTATGAAATAAACAGGAAACCTTTCTCTTTTCTGGCTTTCTGAGTAATGTGCAAGCATATATTTCCATCTGCACACACAGCTGCACACACAAACAGTTTCTACTCTATGCCAATACATTCTCTGCTCTGCGGCTTGGGCATTTTGGCCCTTAGTCTTGGTCCTCTCTGAGAACCATGGCCCGGTACCTTTGGAAAACTTTTAGAGCTGAAAAGGTGTCACACTTTTGCAATAAGCTGAAATTGATCATGTCATCAGCAAGACAGCCACATGCACTGACTCAGATCTAAAATAAATTAGATTTAAAACAAGTTTAAAGCAATGAGCTGAGATGTCTCATACATCTTCAGTCACAGTAAAGTCTCTTCCTACTAGTCAGCACAAAAGTGGATTACAAAAGGTTGCCCTTTCCTTGTTGCCCTCAGTGGATGGTGCTCAGGGCAGGAAATGAACGGAGCCCTGCCTGGAGGAAAGGACCAGTCACTCAGAATACACAATAAAACATTCATTCAGGCATCTGCCTTGTGTCTGGGCTCTTGGGGCCATAAGACCTTAGAGGCAGCATTCTATGCTGTTGCTAAAACCTCTAGAGCTGCTTTCAGAGGCTGATACACTTCCACAGAGATGACAAAATCCCCTGGAGGCAAATGCCAAAATTCACTCTGGGCAGACATCAACATTTTAGAGACGTACCAGAGCAAAGCAGAGTGGGTGCACATGATGTGAGAGGCACTGAAGTGAGCCAAGCTTGCTGATGAGCTGTGAGTAAGAGATTTTGGTTCTTGAGCCACCTCTTATCACTTTATGTGGCGACTTCCACTTCTGTTACTGTGGTCCATTAATCACAAGGCACTGAAACACAAATTGCTTCCATTCAGATTTGCACTCGAGTGTCTTTTTGTGATACAAGGCTGCAGAGAGGTGCTTGGAGGCCTGCTTTTTAGTAACTGTATTCCTAAGAATTCATTTACCTCATTTCTTACTGTACATATTGTGATTAAATGTGCTTACCTTCCTTCTTTAGAAAAATGTTCCATTGGAGAGCTGAGAAATGGTTATTTTCCATCTGCGGGCAGGGGCGATTTTTACAAGGAAGGTGAAAGTGTCAGATTTGTCTGCCACCATGGCTACCAAGCTGAGCATGAAGAAGTCACCTGCACAAGGAAAGGGTGGGCACCACCTCCAAGATGTATCCATGAAAGTAAGTGCCCTTGTATTTTGGTGAGGATTCTATCTAAAACTACTTGTTGTGGTGGTCATTTCTGAAAATGAAAACTCTCCTTTACAGAATGACTTGGCAGTAAAGGCTTTAACATGCTGCGGAAGTTTTCTCTCAGAATATAAGACTGAAATATCCAACCACAACTTCCATCCATTTAAACAACGTATTAAGCACTATCTATTAATAATGTATTAAATTTAGAATGCATTCAATTGACAATATATTAAACAATGAATGTTAATGTTTAGCTAAATGTTAAATAGCTTAAACAATGTATTCCGAGTGACAGAGATCCAAAGTTACAGCATTGGGTCTGTAAACACAAGTGTTTTGCTTTGCAGGAAGGGGGCTTTTGGCACAGATTTGCTTCAGCATGTGCACTGGGAGTGGCTTCTCTTTGGCAGGGCTGAGCTGACACCTGCACACTGTGGTGCTGTGCCCTGCCTTGCAGCATGGGCAGAAGGGGCCCTCTCTGCAYAACCAGGGCTGTGCATGGCCAGCAGGAACGTCATTTCCACTGGAGACCAGATGTGGGCATAGAGTGTTGGAAGCTCACACGATTGCTGCAAATCAGAGCCCTGCCCATCACTGTTTGTGCTGCAYGAGTTGGTCACTGGGAACTCTGAGCTTTCACTTTCCAGCTGTGCYCCAGGAGGAGAGTTCAGTGCAGAAGCAAAACTTCACATGCTCTGTCAGAGTTTCCAAATCCTCCTGCTGCTCTTACTGTTCCCCTTCTGCTGGGATTCCCATGAATGTAGTTTAGCAGTGTTTGATGTGGAAGAAACMTTGCCTTTCTCTTTCAGAACAATGCCAGAAAATTGTTTTTGAGAATGGACGTTTAAACTCGAGAAGTTCAACATTCATTTTAAAAGAGAAGATCTCCTACAGTTGTTTTCCTGGCTTTGTGACTCCCGAAGGACAAGAAATAGGAGAAACGGAATGCCAGAAGAGTGGCTGGACTCCAACTCCCAAGTGCATCAGTGAGTAGCTAAAGGTTTCAGAGCTCCCTTTCACTGTCACCACAGCAGACATGGTGCTGCCCTGTGGACTCAGAGCTTTCTCACCTCGATTTGTGGATGTTTCTTACTGGGCAGAAGGAGATTCAGAAAGAGGACTGGTCCTCCAGACATTAACCTTTCTCAGGCTCCAAGAAATAGAGAGAAAACAAAAATGATCTCTTTGGATCTTTTTAGCACTGGGTAAATGGTAACAGCTGACCTCTTCAGTGGCTCTTACTTGACACAAGGTACATCTGCCCAAGCTTGTTTATCTAAGGTCTTGACATTATGTCAAGAACTTAATTTAAATGAGACCAAACTAGTGACAAATATAGGATTCATTATTTCAAAGTTCCTTCCTCTCCTGAATGTAGGTGTAGTACAGTAAGAGACTCAATCTTCTCTTTTTATGATATGTTGGTCATAATCTTGACCAACTTTAGCTGCTATTTTATCTTGTCCTTCTATTTCAGACTACCTTTATTTAGGATTTTGTCTTCTTTTCTGACCTTCTCACAACTGACCATGGGAACAGCAGTACAAACTGTTTGCTATGACACCAAAAACAATATTATGTTGCAGAACGAAATAACTGAATCTGAGAAAGAACTATTTTTGCTAAATATTACTTATAGACACATTTCTGAAGATWAATGCAATAGATAATATGTGAATATGCTGCTTATTCTACAATAATATTCTGGCAATTCAGAATTATGGRTATTTGAAATATACCTACAGGGACAATGCTCCCAAAGGGCACCATTTCTAGATAACAAAATGCACTAACTTTGTTTCTTTCTACAGAATCATGTAAAGCACCAGAGCACATTTTGCTTTACCACACCAATAAAACTGTGTTCATGCCTGAAGATAGAATTGAGTATTCGTGTTTTGAGGGATATAAAACTACAAATAATATGCCAACTGCTACCACAATGTGTGACAGAAATGGAGACTGGAGTCCAGCACCCCAGTGTCTTGGTGAATATTTTTGTGTTCTCTAATCAGTGTAAGGCCCTGTATACACTCTGTGAACCATTTTTTCTTTAAGACTTTCTTTGGTTTTGTTTTAACCGGTAGWATTTCATGTACTTGCTGTAGGTTGTACACTACATGTTAAACAATTTTTTTTCTCTGTAGAAATAGAATGTGCMYTGCTATCAGTGCCCAATGGAGATTTCTYTCCCAAGGAGAGTAAATACCACAGTGGAGATGTTGTGAAATTTACCTGTGCAAGCCAATACRTAAGAGTGGGACCTGCCTCTATTCAGTGCTACCACTTTGGATGGTTTCCATCACCACCTGTGTGTAAAGGTAATTCTCCTGCAGTCACTGAAAGTGAGATGGTAAATGGCTTGTACAAACTATGAATCAGGGTTTTGATTCTAATGTTTGAAAATTTTTTGTTGTTTAGAAATACATAAATAATATGCAGTATGGCAAGGACTAATTCGAGTAGTGTCTTCTCCCACTGTATCCCAAATGTCCTAAGTTTTGGCACTGCCTAATATTGATTCCCATCAATTATTGCATCCTGTGCCCTTTTTT